GTTTGCTGAGTGGACAAAGGCTCCCTTTGTTTCAAACCATGGAGCTCTCTGCAAAAAAGTCCATCCAAATGTCACTGGGCAGCCAGACCTTTGGGTGTTCAGGACCTTTTGGTCACTGACCGAGGCCACCGGAACCCACAACTCCCCACTTCTCACCTTCACCCTCACCTGCCCCTTCTTCACTCTTCAGTGACGCGACCTGCGGAGAGGTCACGGCGTTTTGTCCAGCCGAGAAAGCCATTCGGAATCAGTGATGCAAAACCATTCAGCCGAGAAAGAGCGCGGAATCATGTGATTTTCCTTTGGGAGGTTCGACTCCTTGAGTCTTTGCAATCTGGGGAAACCAATTCGTGCTATGGAGCCAAACATCCTCAAGAGAGAGTGATACGTGGAACTGTACTCATGTCGATCTTGTGCAGAGCATTGCTTTCAGCCGTTTACTTTCCTCTTCACAGGATTCACATTGGGATGTTAGGTTTGAATTCTCATGGTGGGTGACCCCAGCTGTTACCACATACTTTGATGAGGAAGTCTAAGTGGATCCGTAGCATTTCTCAGCCAATTTTCATCTGGAGCGAGTTGGCACCCTGACCTGGACCAAAGAGCAGGCCTTGGACACATTCACGGGCAAGATCTTCGCAGTGAAGCAAGGCATCGTAGATGAAACTTGGCTGCCTTTTTCATGGGCACGGACGCCATCTGTGTCCAGCTTGGCGAACCACATAAAAGTGGATGACAGAATATGACAGATGGCAAAGTAGGCAGGAGCTGGACTCCCTGACTGGTGACAATTGGGTGGAGATGTATCAGGCTGAGCCGATGTGTTCAAGCCAGGTAGTGAACTGATGTGAACTGAAAGCAAGTGGGCAGAGAGCAGAAGAGATTCCTCTCCATTGGGCTTCTGTCAGAACCCTGTGAGCTATATGACAGCAGAAGATCTATTCCCCAATAGTCGTAGTCAGGTCTACAGAGCCGAACCCTTCCAGACCTGCACAGCATGTTGGGCCGTATGTTGGCCCACAAAAATGCGCCCCTCCGAACTCCAGAACGAACGAGTTTCTCGAACTCCCTTCGTCGAAGGGACGACCTCGTTTCAACCGGTCGTCCCCCTCGTTTCACGCACCGGTCCAGGACCGGAATGAGGAGGACCGGAAGTATCGGGAACGCTTGGAGGCCGAGCTCACCATTTGCAAGGAGACGACGAGATGCGCGGGAGACGACGACGACGGGATGGTATGGGCGCGGATGGGATGGCGCGCGCGCCAGGTGTGATAATGGCGATATGGGTGGTGTTGGGGCGCTTGGGTGGTCAAGATTTGAGTGTCAGGGCAGCTGCAGTGGAGCACTTTTGGGGGTGCTTTCGTTGTGGTGTTTGAGCTAGCCATGCCCTTTATCATGTTTCATGTACCGGGGAATATATTAGACCTTCCTTCAACAACTTGCTGAGCAGGGATTATCCGTCAAGCCAAGCAACCCTGTTGGGTCGTCAGTAAAAGCACCTTCGGACGATGCGCATCGATGTGCCTTCTGACCGTCTTCTGAGCGAAGGTGGCGCTGATTCGTAGCTGCTATAAGACATGTTTCTCAGCCGCCAGTTTCCCCGGAACAGCGACGCAAGGACCTTCGGCATCCGAATATCGTCCAGACCCTGGGATTTGATAATGCCAGTGCCTGGGCTGAAGCAACGCATAGACCGGACCACGCAATTCACCTAGTGTACATTTGTAGAGATGAAGGAAAGGCCTTTTGTTCAATCTGGCGGCTTTTCCCATTCCAAAGGCTATCCTGTTCCGGTCTACATGACGCTTTGCTTTTGACGTTTCCATGACTCCACGGCAGAGGCAATCACCTGTACATCTATCTTGAGTATGTGTTCGGCGCCCAGAGAAAAGTGGCACCTCCGATGTTTCGGATCACCACCATGTGGTGGTGTTTTTGCCATCTCAGACATCATCCCCATGGTGTTTGTCACAACAAAAACACCCATGAAAAAGGCACGAGAACATCACACGCACCCGAACCACAAGTAACAGATGTTAACAGATGTTAACAGATGACGCCCACACCGCATCCCACACGTTTGGGGCCGTCGTTTTTGGTCGTGTGGTCTCCGTGGTCGTCGATGGCCATGAAAACGGCGGAGCGTATGGAGCATGAACTATGAGGGGATAAGTTGTAATTCATACCTCGAGTATCATAGAAAAAATCAGGCATATTCCGGAGCACACATCTTCTATTTGAAATGAATCTGGAAGGCTGCCCAAACCATGTTCAAATAAAATATCAAATAATTCCAGAGGTCAAAACAGACAACAAACTAGAGTAAAGGAGGAACTCTGGCAATATTTATTCTAATTGAACTGTGTGAAAACTGTTGATCTTCTTTTGAAATGGTCTTCTATTTGATATGTTTTGTGTCTGATTGTCTTGCCCACCGGGGACAAATCAACTAGAAGAAACACGTGTATTATATATTGTTTGATACAACTATTGTATGCTACAATTGACAATAATTCCACCACTGTATCTTCTATTTGATGCGCCCCTTCATCTTCTATTTGATCCTTGATCGAAATTGGCAAGACTTCATGTGGCAGGCATTGGAAAAGGCAAAAAACTCGAGGTTTCTTGCACGTTTTTCACCAGAGGAACTTTTGCAGAAATCAGACATTTTTCTCCCGGGCTAGCCAGGACTTATCTATTGCGCATTCATTGTTTCATGCATATTTCCTGGTGAATAACACAAAATGGTACCGGGAATAGGATTCTTTGAGCCCTCTGGAGAAGGACGACTTTGGACTGAAATAGACCCACCAAAGGACACTTTGCATTCTGTATAAACAAGGTTCGCTACTAGGAACAAGTGCCTCGCTACTAGTAACAAGTGCCTTACTAG